ATTATGAACAGCAAGATATCCAATTTGCAAAGGCAACTACGCAGTTTGTCGTTCATTTACGCAGTGCTGTGAGCAGAGCATCCTGAGTAGGACCTCCGAGAGAGCTGCATAGATGATATACATCCCTGCGTAAACGAACGACAAACTGCGCTGCAGTCGCCTTCGCAGGTAGAATAAATGAACGAAATCTGCGGCAGTAACTGCATAAACGAACGTATACATCTCATGTATTCCGTATACGTTATCATGTAGTATGTATGTAGTATGTATGCTGACAGTCATTTCCATTGAGTTGTAATGCACAAGCGTTTCATGTAATATACGTTACGTATATTATAGAAAATTTAGTGAATTTCAGAACGCAGTAGAAAGGCATTTCTGTCGGCAAGTGCACTTTCAACTTTTTCCGCAACGGCACTAAAATCGCATTGTCCTGATTTTTCATGTATTTTCCGAAATCATATTTTGAGCTCATGTTTTATTCCTGAGTTCGATTTCTTTTTTATTCCGTGTTATGAGTCTAGTTTACACCGAGCATTTGATATGCGTATTAAGTACTATATCCATATCAAATTACTTGTTACGTTTGGTATAAATGCTGGTGCATTATTTTGATTTGATTATTTTGAATCACGAATATCAGACCAAGTTGATACGCGTATCAAATGATATCAAAAAATCTCAGCGTACATTCAGAGAAAAGGTTGCTTTGATTTTAAAAAATGTCGATTAAAGAAAAAAATATTTTTGATTTGTGAAAAAATTTCTTTGATTTAAACATTATTTTTTAAAATTAAATAAAATTTATTTTTAAATCAAAGAAATTTTTTTCTTTAATCGATATTTCTTTAAATTAAAGCTTTTTCTCTGGGTGTGTTGTAAACACTTGGTTCGTTTGGGATTGTATATTAAAATTTGCCTATTTTTAAATTCAGAGTTCTTTTTAAAGTTAGAATTAGAGATTTTATATCTTGAAAAGCAATGAAGACATTATAACTTTACATTTGATACAGGTACTAACTAGTAACTTTCTATTGAATGATTTTAATTTCGGCAATACATTGAAATGTATGATGTACTAAATTAATACAGTGTACATCATAATAATGATTAATTAAATACACATGTTGTGTATATGTTCCAACGTATTGCTGAAATTAAGATCATTCAATAGAAAGTTACTCGTTAGTATCCGTATCAAGTGCACAATGTAAACTAGGTCTTATATCGTGCACTTGATATAGGCTATGTTCCAAAATTCACTGCCAGCGCTGAAAATATACAGTCTACGTCACATGTACTATACATTTGACGTTTTGGAACACAGCCAGATACTAATTAATAACTTTCTATTGAATTATTTTAATTTCGGCGATATGTAACATATATATGATATATGTGTTTAAATAAATAATCATTTTGATGCATATTGTACAGTTTAGAACATCATTCTTTTATCTTATTAAAATTAAAATAAGTTAATAGAAAGTTAAAAATCGTAATTTTATTAATATATAGGATATTATAGCTTTACAAGTATGCATACTTACTTATGAAGTATTTATGTAATAAAAAATCATGAATTTAATAATTTTAGCCAAATATTTATGTTAATAATAGCAAATTTATATCAATTGTCAAGTGTCAGCGTTCAATTACCTCCGAACCTTTGTTCTTTTTATTGCCGAAAATTTGCCAACGGTTGACGGTCTTCAATAGTATGTTGTTCTCAATTCTTTAATAATAATGTTCTCATCAGTGACTAATGAATTCGGCATATGTTGACTCACATGACCGTGTGGCATTGTGTCCCAAAATTCATAATATATTGCATTAATTTAATACATCGTTAATCTTTAAATACGTTGCCGAAGTTTAAATAAGTCAATTGAAAGTTATTACATGTTTGTATATCAAGTGGACGATGTAAATTAGGCTAGTACAACATTTTCAGTATTACATATTAGACTTTTGACCGCAGTATAGACTTTTGCATAACGCATAATGTATAAGAGAATCGACTAATCAAAATTCTTCTTTTTCATGGGAAGAAAGGAAAGATTCTGATTGATTGATTCTCTTATGCATTATGCTTTATGTAAAAATCTATACTGTGGCCATAAGAATCGACAGGAGGGACAAGCCAACTCATTTACACTTCATTTGATGTTACATATCTGTACATCTCTCATATCAAACTCTGCCATATATTGTCTCGTAGAAGAAATATTTTGCCATTAAACACTCTGGCTTATATTTCATGAAGCTATGAAGCCTACTAAAGAACTAAAGAAATTTTGCAGTTTCATTCTTAAAAATATTTTAATGACTAAAATGATATATTCCTTACTTATGCAGATATCTGCCTTTATGCTGACATTTTATCTCCAAGAAGTAATATTACATAATAAAACCTTTTTGATTTTTTTTTTTATGAAACTGCGAAGGCGCGTATGTACAGAGCCAGTTTTGCAAATTGATTCTTGAAAATTTTTTATTAATAAAATTATGTACTCCTGAATTGCACTATAGTATACATCGAACGAGATATCAGAACAAATTTTTATTTTGCCTTTTTTCCAAAAAAATCGCTCTGTATAAGCCTTAAGGAATTTTTTCTAATATTGCAATTAAAATGCGATTCATGCAATATTTTAGCCTTAATTTCAGCATAAAGGAATTTATCATCAACTACAGATCTTCATAGTCTCTCCTAGGTCTTTAAGATCCTTAAGGCCATCATACAAAACATAAGCGGGGAGCACAGACTCTTACATAACACATAACACAAGAGGCGTAAGAAATTAAACCAATCAGAGTTCTTCTATTTCATGGAAAGGAAGAAAACGGAGGATTTCGATTGATATTTTTTGCATTACGTGTTATGTGTTATGTAAAAGTCTGTGCACCCCACTTTAAACTGCATAACCATTGCATATGGTCGCTGAATTAATATGATGGAGAGCACAGACTCTTGCATAACGCACAACACATAAGAAAATGAACCAACCAAAGTCCTTAATTTTTTTCCTTTCTATGAAATAAAGGATTCTGATTGATTGATTTTCTTATGCCTTATGTTTTATGTAAGAGTTTATTAACCTGCTTAAGCAACATAAAGAATACACCATGTTGATTTAAAATGCTCATTGGTCTAGAAGCCTTATGCTATAGTTGTGCCACAGTATATACAGTAGTGCAACTTTCTTACTACATTTAAGCGGGGACTCTTGCATAACGCATAACACGTAAAGCCGGTTCTATATTAGTTGTAAGCTGATCGCAAGTTTGTTGCGATAGCCAATCTGAAGCTTGTATTTTGAAATCAACGTTTCATATTGGCTGTCACAACTTGCGATCAGCTTGCAACTAATGTAGAATCGGCTTAATGCATAAGAAATTTAACCAACATGATTCTTTATTTCATGGAAAAAAACGGAGGATATTAATTGGTACATTTTCTTAGGGCCATTCCACACAAACTTGCATAGCTACATAAACATATGCGTAAAGAAAATCATTCAATTGTATTTTACGTTTGCCTTTATGACAGAAATGTGATTGGATAATTTTCTTTATATGATTATGCGACTATGCAAGTTTATGTGAAATGGCCTTACGCATTACGTGTTATGCATTATGCAAGAGTCTATGCTTTACACGGCATGCTTTTATGCTTAATTTACACTGGACGCAGCAAGCGTCAAACAGCGGGATAGCAATTAACAAGGTGATATTGTTTACACCACTGTAAATATCGCCTCATTGATTGGTTGTTGCTCCGCTGCTTGGCGCTTGCGTCAGTGTAAATTAGACATAAAGCGTGCCGTGTAAAGCGGGAAATGTGAATTAAGCATTAAGGTATATCCACACAAACTTGCATAATCACATAAAAGTATGCATAAAGAAAATTATCCAATTGCATTTCTCCAATAAAGACGCACGTAAAATGTGCATTCTTAATCTCATTGGTTTTCGCGCGATTGCAGATATTCCGTTTTATGTAACGTGTTGCGAGTGGCGTGTAGCAAAATTCGTGTTGAGTTCCGTTATATTTTCGATTTTGAGAGACTAATTTGTATTTTTGCGAATTCACTATGAATATCCGATTTTATGCGATGATTTCATACGATGATTCGTCGCGTACATACATATATACATACATATATACATATGTGTGCGCGCACGCACGCGTAAATGAGCGAGCGGGCAAGTTCTCGAATGTGCTCCGCTCCGAATTTTGCGAGCGCGGTACTCCGATTTAATGCGCAGAACAGTCAGCCTTTTTTCCCGTCGAGCAATTTTGCGGGCGCCAATCAGAATTCGCGCGAGCACGGCCGCGGCAAGAAAATGGCTAACGTCGTATCGCTGGGTTCGAGCGTATCTTTGCGCGTCGTTTTGTGAACCCCGTAGTCCGCAATCACGTTGACGTCTGTCGCCATTTCCTCGCGCGGAGGAGCCCGTTCGTTTATTTTGCAAGGTAACGATCGCCGTTCGTTTTACATCATCGACACGTTAATTTTTTAACATTTGAGCCACGGCATCGTTTATCACTACGTTTCCGCGAGCGCGAGTGAAAAATACTGAGATAAATGCATTGCGAAGTGCATATGTCTAGAGTGCATACAAGTGCATCACGGCGACGGCCGCCGCCGCTGTGCGGAGTGCGATTGCATTTCGCCGGCCGGCGAATTAGCGCGTGGTAAAAGTGGAACCGCGAGTCTCATCGTGAGAATAACGGCGACGTTGGAGAGGATAGAAGAATAATATCATCGCGACAATTCTTGCCGCGCGAATCCTTTGCTACAGCGGCGATTGCGCCGCTCCGTTCCTCTCCTCTCCTCTCTGCTCCGCTCCGCTCCACGCTACGCTGCGCTGTTGCCGCGCTGTTGCCGTCACCATTGTCGTCTGTGGTCTACGCCAACCGATCGGCGATCGCGTTCAATCGTCCTGCTGCCTAATCGTTGGGCTGAACTGCGAGTGTCATCGATAACGTACGGAATTATATTGGGCATCACAAATTTTCCTCCTTGGTTCCTGCTCTTCTCGTTTCTCGTATCAAACGGAAATGTAATGTCTATAATCGGTTGCTTTGATATTTTTAGTTATTTATTTTCAAGTTTGGTGCGCCAGGGAGGTCTGATCACGGACGGTTCTCGCTCAGATTTGTGTACTCCGACGTGTATATATATATATGTGTGTGTGTGTGTGTGTGTGTGTGTGTGTGTGTGTGTGTGTGTGTGTGTGTGTGTGTGTGTGTATTTTTTATATGCTCGCGCGCGCGTGAGAAAGAGAGAGAGAGATCTTCTTCCAGTTTTCTTTCACACATTTCGCACCTATGCATTATGGAGTGCATTATCAAGTACATGATTGGAGTATTTGTGATTCTTTCTTCTTGCACCGGCTCATTTTCCGACTTTGTTTCCAGACATTTTATCATCCTACATTTTAAGAAAACGTTTTTTTTCGTTAGAAATAAATTTTTATGTATAAATATATTTCTTGGAAGATTAAGAATAATTCAA